TTTTTTTTTCTTCTTTTTCCTTTTTGTCTTATCTTGGCATCGATCGATAAGGGATGACAGCTCCGCAAGAGGCTTCCTCCACATCTGCCCGTCCAAAGACAAGATTTTCAAACGGTACACATTGTTCTAGTACTGGCAGCGCATCTCCTATACGAGTTCCTCCAGGATACCTATCATTCCATCTGACCGGTGGTCGAGAATAACGTTTAGGGAGCCGACGATGATGATTGGCACACTGTCGCACTTGGATATCGTCGCCAGCCACAACTTCGACATCGAGAATATCGATCTAAAAATCTGCGAGGAGAGGGGGTCAGGATAACCTACACATCGAATGGCCATTGTTAGGTATGCTGTAAAAGATTGGCTTTCAAATTCTAGCAATTCCATTTTGATCTAGCAATCAAGTTTTAATCAAAGAACACATGTATGCAGTTTATTTATTAATGCAATCATACTCCTTATCTTACACTGAGATAGTATGGTTTGCGGTGTCTCGAACAGAAAGATCATCTATATATCGGTTCCTTGTAAGACTAAGTTATTTGTTCACAATCTAGACAGACATTGAGACCCCTCTTGGAAAAAGACCGTACTGTAAGTCTGGATTCAGTTGGTCTTTGACTGAAGGATTACACTAGTACTTATGTCAAGTATTGAACATGACAGCTGAAGGATAAGACTATAAGATATACTGATCGCAGTTATAATCTAGACGTTCAGTAATTTATGCGTACTCTTAAGCTGTAACATAATATAAAACGGGCATATATATTCATTATTTGTTTAGTTGATTTACCAAGGGTGATTCTTATTATGTTAGGATGACATACTGGTATTTTGGTAAATGAAAGTGTTTCTATGATATGCTGTTATAAATTATTTATTGTCCCTGTGTCCTAGTGTGTTGGGTTGATGACGTCCCTGAAATGAGCCCAGTAAGGAATATTATGTCAAGCCCTACAGACGTATGTGTATCTGACATAATGGTTAAGGATCTTAGTGGTACTAGTTTCAGAAATGAAGAAGAAGCTGATTAATTACTTTGTCAGTAATTTAATTAATCAATGGACATTATATCATAAACATATGGAGATAAAACAACCAATTAGATTCATATTAATTAATCAAGTGGAGGTTCAAATTTAAATGGGGAGAACAATAATATTACTCTAGTTGAATGTTTTATTATTTAATTCTATTTAGAAATTATGAATTAATTATATTCCATAATTTAGATTCTCTAGTGAGAAGAATATTCCTTCTAGACTATTATCTAGGGTTAGGAGACTATGGAGTCTTCTAGAAGGTAATTAGGGTTAGGAGAAATATGTATCGTAAATGGAAAAGGATATGGAACATGATTAAGCTTCCTAAACCTAATAGGACAAGCCCATATTTGGTACCTCCTTAAGGTCTCTAATATAGCCTATAAATAACTATGTCCCAACCTCTTCCCCTATGCATGTGAGCCGATTTTAAGGCCTTCCCAAAGAGAGGAAAATCGAGCAAACATTAATATTGTGATTTCGGGAGATTCGAAAAATCGCCCTCCGAGATTTTTCAGAATAGGTGTTTAGGTAATACATTAGAAGATTTTAGGGTACAATATTTATCGAGTACATATTATTTTTCGGCGACTAGCTGCCGTCCACCGCCGTCGTAAGCCGCCGCCGCGCCCCTGGCCGCACCCAGGCGTGTCCCAGACGGCACAACCCGTGCAAAGCTGCG